GGCCGTGAAATCGAAGAAGACACATTCCCAGGGGTAGCAGACAGACAATGAATAGAGAAAAGATAAACTGATTAGTGGAAGATCAAGCCTTTTCAAAAAGGAAGAGGGTCATTATCACCTGTAGTGTGAAAAAAGGGGTTTTCAGGAAGCAGGTAGATTATATATAGTATAATAAAATGTCAGCCAGAAAAATCCTTGCCTCTCACAATTCGTGGACCATCATAGCTACGTATCACTCCAACTTTGCTAAATTGGGCAAGACACTCAGTGAAACCAGGGTTGCAAAAATCAGATGGCGTAACACAGCCGAGCATACAAAGGAAAGCAGCAGGAGCTCCCATACCTGGCCTCTCCAGTCTGCGACTCCATCTGGTTAACCCAAGATTTGTAAATATCCACAGGATCAGTTTTGATATTGAGTGATTTATCATCCATGATTTCCTTCACAACAGGTGCCAGGATCTGCCTCAGTGCATTCTGGCCACGGGCGCCACGGTTGAAACTTACCACCATCTTAATAACAGTGGGATTGCCAGTCACAATCTCATGTATCTGATCTACCTTGGATCTGGAAGAGAATGAACATGAATAAACAACTAACGGGATTTTTTTGTCCACTGTGTCACACGCCATGGCACAGGCTTCCAGAAGCAGACTGTGTTTAGAGTTTTATTTGTCAAGAAACAGCCAGTGGTTTTGTCCTGAAACATGAATACAGTGCTAGACTGCACTAGGTAGCTCTTGGCACATGGCTCTGATGTGCCACAAAGAGACTTGAAGCCGAGGGCCTTTGCACAGCTCATCAACGCCCACCTGGAAAGGACCTAGTGCTGCTGCAGGCATTTAATCCTACATGCCATATGAAAAAAAACACTTAAAAAAAAATTGAGAGCAGGCTAGCATGGTGTGAAAAACATCATTTCACCACAGGCACACTCATCCACCCTCACAGCCAGGCCAAGCAACGCACTAATACATACTTTATCTCCTCCTTCAGAGCTGTCTGGAAAAGCCGCAGCAGCAGGTACTCCTCTCTCTGATTGGATGCATAGTTATACAGTGTGAAGATCACAGAATCCATAAATTTGGTGGATTTGTTCTGAGGCATCTGAAAAATCAGCTTGGCCAGGTAGGTTGGGTTAGTCTGTAACAACAGCAACAGCCGTTAAGCATTCACTTCTACAGAGGCCGTAACAACTTGTGACAGTGGTGGGCTAGAAGTGCAATGCACAAGTGAGGACTGGGTAAGAACATGGGAGTCTCTATGGCCAGGGGAAGCCTGAGGAGCTGCTTACCTGAAGTAGGTAGAACAGGTGCTGGTAGGCCTCCAGCTTCTCCCTCTTCTCTTTGCTCAGAGCCTTCAGACCTCCCTTCTGCTTGTTCAGCATCATCATGTCAGACAGCTGCTCCTTGTTCTTCTTCGTAAGCTTCTTGCTGTGGGAGACGACATCCTGCAGAGAGCCAGAGAAAGCTTTAAATTTAAGCACTGAAAATCAACTTACCTTTTAACTCTTCCCCATTTTCATTTCTCTCCTTTTGCTTTATAGTTATTTTGTGTGATGGCTTTTTTCTAGAGGCGCACCAACATATCGGTGCCATATCGGGTTGGCACCAATAAAAGGAAAATTAACATTATTGGTCATCGGCTTTGTTTTGCCGGTGTAGATGATAATGTCACCAGTAAATGCCACGTGCATGAGCACAGCTGCAGCATGCACCGCAGAAATGCTGCCCAGCAGCATG